CGTACGGTGGTATAGTACTCGAAAAAAACTGTCAGCACAACCAACTCACCTGATCGCCGGCGCCTGCAATATCTTCTTTCTCAAGAAACCTCAGCTTTACTCATTCCGGCAGGCCTGGATCTTGCGACCAATAAGCTGGGATAGCGGTCTGACATACCCTTGGACGTTCCGTTACCATTCGCATCCCCTAATACGTACATAAACGCGAGCATGTCTCCAATCATACTATGATAGCATTGTGCTTGTCCAACGTGAAGTGACGAGCCTCCATGAACACGCGCCGCCGGGTATCGCGAAGAGTGACGGCCTGCGTGGCTGATTCCGCTGTGGTGGCGCCGCGGCGCGAATGCATCGCGAAGGGTACTAGGATTCGAAGAATTCGTAGGAAAGCGCGCGACTACATGAATTTCGTAACGGGTACGCCATGGCTACCCTGGGCATGAACGACGAAATTCTTATTTCTTTCAAAGACCCCAAAGTTTGGGGTCACTGACCCGAAAAACAATGGCAAACGACCAAAACTATTTCTTTGCAAAGTCCTGAATTTATCCGTTGGTCTGTGGGATACAAATCGTTTTTTGTTTGTTTGTTTGTTTGTTTTTTTTTTTGCTTTTTTTTTTTTTTTTTCCCTTCTTCGCTGCGCTTACAGGCCTCGTCCAATGGGCATCAACCACGTGGCATGATCGCAAAGGCTCATCAACCGCAGACCTTCAAGGTCTAGAAGTTCCAATGGTCGCCCGCGAGTCGCTTTCCTGCCAGCAGCAGCAGCACCGCCGCCACCAGCAGCATCACCACCAGCACCAGCGGCAGCATCACCAGCACGAGTCGCACCGTCCCAGCGTTCCCCAAGCCATGGCTGCCGAAATTAGCGCCTGCTCATCCCTCGAGCTCCCCCAGCGCATATCGCGCACTCATCCCACAGAGGATCAGTCCGATGCCCCCTTGCCCACTCCAACCTCCGTGTCGGCCGCCCTCACAGCACCACCCGCATCCCCGATGTTCACCCAGCCACCCCTCGAATTCCCTTTGCCGGCTGTTGAGTTCTCTCTGCGTGAGCTGGCGGCCTGCACGCGTGGCTTCGGCCCCGATGCCATGCTGGCAATGGACTGGGCGGGCGCCGTGTACCGCGGGTGCTGCCACGTGGGCAAAGGCCACGTCGTTGCGCGACGTGGTGGAGGTCTGCAGTCAGAAGAGCCGGCGAAGGAAGCTCCACGTGGTTCCCCCGATGCGTCGCAGGCTGTGACAGAACGCGGTGCGTCTCCAGCCGACCTGTGTTGCTGTGCCACGTGTCAAGAGCTCACAGCCACCAAGTGCGTGAATCTAAGAGGCGGCTGCGCGAGGGTGAAGCGCTGGCGGTACCTGCCTTCCTCGTTGCCTCCCCCACCATCCACGTCAGCAGCTGCCGACGCAACAGGCAGCGGAAGCACGAGCAACGAGCAGGGACCGACAGCGCTAGATAGCATGCCGTCTCATACGCCTGAGGAGGCACAGAGCTCTGGAGACGTGGATTCTTTCAGTCTCTGCAGGGAGGGAGATGATGGGGCGTCTGGCAGAAGCAGCAGCGTTTGCACACGAACTTGCTGCCGATTGTGGGATTCAGCTGCTTGGAAGAGCTGCTGCTGGTCTTCCGCTCCAACCCCTCTGCCCGCTCCCTCGAATACGCCCTCGCAAGAGGTAGAATCTTCCGTCTTATATTTTTTCCCAATTGTGTTTCGTTTTGTTTCCTTTTTTGTTACGAGCTTTCGTCTTGCGGAGTTCAATCATGGAATAGCAACGTGACGGAATTATTCGTTTTTTACCCATCAGCCATACTAAACTGTTCCTCCCTTTCCTCCCCTCCCCTCTCTCTTCCATTCGCAGATGCAATGCTGTGTGGAGCGGGGTCCCCCTCTGCTCTCTCCTCCTGGTCCGCTCGTCTCTCCATCGCTCGTCAGATGGCAGGAGGGCTAGCTCACCTCCATTCCCACAGCTTTCTGCACGCATCCCTCCGCTCCGCCAACGTGCTTCTGCATGCTGTTGGATCAACGCAGCGTTGCAGCTCCCAGCTGCCGAGCCATCTTTCGGACCATGAGAAGCGGTGGTGGCGCCACCTGCTTCGACGAAAGGCTCGGGCCGAAACTGCTGCGCAGGTCCGGGTGCAGCTCGCGGATTACGGCATGCCCTGCAGGCTCGGGACGGGCAAGGTTTGGAAGGAAGAGCCTTGGGTGTGTCGTGTTCGGTGATGCCAAATACCTGGATCCTGCATTCATGGGATCAGGCCGGTACGGTACTACTAGTGACGTTTACGCACTCGGCGTCATAATGAATGAGCTTATATTGAGACCAGGATCATCCGGGAAAAAATCCGGCCAGCCAATCACAAGGCTCACTCGGAACTCATCAGCAAGAGCTTCAGATAGCTCGTCTGAAACAGCAGCCACTACTGCTGCCGCTGTCGCTACTGCCGCTGCTGCCAGGGCCTTTCCAGTGTCTCGGTCTTTTCCCGGACCACATGCATCTCCAGCCGAACCACAGCATGACACTGTAACGCAAGCAGATTCGGCAGCACCAGCAGGGGCACCACCAGCAGAGACAACAGCAGCAGCAGGCGCAGGTGGGGAGTCAAGCAGCACACGTGCCCAGCAAACCCCATCCCCTGCAGATACCTCATCCATTCCAGACCCCTCCTTGAGTCATCTCGCAGACCGGTTTGGTCCGGTGATGGTACCACCAAAACGTCAGCGCTGGTGCAATGGTGTACTGAGCGCAACCCTGCCCACAGGCCGTCTTGCCTTGAAGTGGAGCAGCTTGTAAAGGGGATGGAAGGGATGAATGTGATGGAGAGTTGAGGCGGAGGGAGATGAATGGGAGGAGGCTAAGAGGCCGGCAGTGGGCCTTGCTGAAATAGATTCTCTCAATTGTATAATTAGCTTGGCAAGGAGAGATGCATGCCCAGAGTTTGGAGTTAACAGTTTAGACTTTCTAAAATGGCACTGTTGTCAATATGTAGTGAAATGCCAGTTTGAAGTTGCTAATCACTTTCCATGAAACCGAGATGCAAAATAGTGAACCCAAACCCAACTTGAAAGGGCGCAGGGACGAGTTTGCCGGGCGAAACCAAAGTTTAGACGGACTGAGAAGTTTGTACCGTTTCAAACGCTGCGGACGTGCAAATCAAACACCTTTGATTGGTTCCCGCCAAAAATGAGACATTTTCCTGATGTGTGGCGTCGCACTTCTCATTGCTAAGCCCGCACGACAATTTGCACAGGCGATCGTTTCAGTCTGTCCAAGCGATTTGGGCCCAACTGATGTTTCAAGTTGGGATGGGGTGAACTACTACCAATTTGCGTCGGAAGTTCTAAGTAGCTAGGCTAGGCATAGGCTATGTCTCAACTTAGGCCCTCGTTATCTACACATGTATTAATCAGAATGTCCGTCATGTTGTATCCGAAAGCTATGAGTGTAAGCTTTTCAGTCTGTCCCTTTGCGCCCGCGTTTTTTCCGTCCCGTCGCCCACGCGATCTCCTATCGCCTCCCTTACCCACGCGATTGTCGCCGCCCTTCCGTGGCTCGTCCCGCTGCCTTCTCATCGCCCATCCCATCGTCCATCCCGTCGCCCATACCATCGCCCATCTCGTCGCCCATCCCGTCGCCCATCCCGTCGTCGATCCCGTCGCCCTTCCCGTCGCCCATCCCGTCGCCCCTCCCTCCGCCCTTCCTATCTCCCCTCGCCTATCCTCTCCCCCGTCGCCCCTTTCCTTCCCCCGTCGCCCTCTCTCTCTCCCGTCGCCCTTTCTCTGTCACGTCGCCCTTTCTCTTTCCCGTTGCCCTCCCTCCCGTCGCCCTTTATCTCTCCCGTCGCCGATCCTCTCTCCCGTCGCCCTTCCTTTCTCCCGTCGCCTATCCTCTCTCCTGTCGCCCTTTATCTCTCCCGTCGCCTATCCTCTCTCCCGTCGCCCTTTCCCTCTCCCGTCGCCTATCCTCTCTCCCTCGAAACAGTCATCGCCCTTCCTCTCTCCCCTCCCGTCACCCACCTCGGCGCCCTGGCGCTCGCCCCGAAATGCCTGCCCGTCGCCCTTCGTTTCTCCCCCCTCCCATCACCCATCTCGGCACCTTCGCGCTCGCCCCGAAATGCCTGCAAGTCACCCTTCCTTTCTCCCCTCCCATCTCCCCATACCCTACCATTCCACAATTTTTGCTCAATCAGCTCTCTACGTGCGTCGTCGTTACCTTCTCGTTCTTCCCTTTTTTTATTCCTAACATAAAACTCTCTGTTTTTTATGCATTTCTGCTTTTCCTACGCTGTTTGTGCCGCTCCAGCAGGTCCATGTCTGAGGCGTTTGTTGTGCGTGAATTGCACATGCAAAACCTGTGAAATTGGCCCCCTCGTGTAATCGGAATCGCACGTCGCATTTGCACATGCTTGCGACATTTTTTGTGAGAATCACTGTGAAGACTTGAACGTGTCTGAAAGACAAAACATAACAACGCTTCAACCGTCAAAAGCATTAAAATGTTAGTTTGAGATTTCAAGTGGACCCACTAGAAGGGGGGGGGTCACTAATTTAGCTGCTGGCTTTAACAGTTTAGACTTTCTAAGATTGCGCTACTGTGAATACTAAGTGAAATGCCAATGATACAGGTAGCTTTGTAAAATTACACTGTTGTCAATATGTAGTGAAATGCCAGTTTGAAGTTGCTAATCACTTCCATGAAGCCTGTAAGGAAAATTCCTTTTCCTTACTTCGCATCCCTGCTCAACGCGTACATCACTGTAGCACCACAGTCAACACCATTACCACTCGCAATCCTCGCATCGACAATCCGCCCGCCACCTTCGCACGTCGCATCCCGACCTCACGGCTCGGCGGGTAACCCGCGCTCCGGGCCTCCGCTTCGACACTTTTCCCAACCTCAGTCCCAGACCCGTCGCGCTACAACCACAGTCCATTACCGTTACCACTGTAGTTTCGCTATATATTCTTCACTCATTCCTTCACTCATTGGATTCTTGCTTTGATAGTGCAATTCTCATTTGTTCCCTCACTTGCACTCATAACAAAGCCTAAAGACATGCTTCAACCTCACTCACTCGAACTGCATATTAAGCCCTAACAAAATGTGTCATTACAAGGTTCTAGCTTGCCTTGATTTCCGCTCCATTCCTTTAACTACCAATACTACACCGAAGTGCAGTACACTGTCTACAGTTAAAATACTGCTGCAGGAGTGCTGTAAATTCATTTTATTCGCCTAACTCTCAGCAAACTCTATCCATATCAGAACTTCTATTGGTGGCCACATCATCAGCGAAAGTGAGGCCCGTTAGGCTCTGAAGTCTGCGCGCATGTAAGGGATCTGCTTGTAACGGGTTGAGTTCGCCGCCCTAAAGTCCCACTTCTGTTGTAGTGGAGGGGGGATATAAGGGTGCGGCAAATGAAGGGGGTTAGGGACGGGAGGAAGAGGCAGAGGGTACACGAATTTAACAGAGCAAGGAAGGAAAAGGTGAGAGTGGTGCATAGAGTGAAGACAGGGGGTAACAGGACAAACGGCAGAAAGGAGAGACGACCGAGGGGTGATATAGGGGCGGGGCAGGGGATGGGAAGGGGAGGAGGGAGGTTGTGTGGGGAGGAGAAGCCGGGGGGGGGGGGAGGGATGGGGGGAGTGGGGGATGGGGGGAAGAGTGGGTGGGGGGTGGGGTGGGGGGGGAAAGGAAGAGGGAACATGCCGCATGGCGGGCCGGGTGGGAGGGATGGATATTTAGGGGGCGCGGAGGGCGGGGGGCGGGAATGACGAGACAGGGAGATTATGGTGCCTTGCAAAGCGCAATACAAAAATGAGCGAGGGACAGAGCAAAGCTACTTCAGAGTGCAATACGACCACGATCGAGACACGACGACGGCAGAAAGGTTGATGAGTGGGGAACGAGAAGAGTGCGCGGAGTGTTGGGGGGAGGCCAAGGGAGGGGAGGGGGAGAGGGTGGGGAGGAAGTGGGGGGGAGGAGGGGGGGGGGAGGAAGGGAAGGGAGGGAAATGGGGGAGACAGGGAGTGAATGGCGGAAGCGGAAAGAAGGCGTACTCATGGTGTGCGGGGCGTCATGCCCGTGAGCGCGGGCGGCGGGGGAGCCGGCGGAGTAGACGCCGCGCCCGCGCTGCCCGTTTCCGCCGGCGGTGGCGAGTCGCCGGCCGGATCGTCTTCCTCCGGCGGGGGTGACGGGGAGCCGAAAAAACCATCCGGTATAAGCACATCCGATACAAGGTGCACCTGGAGGAATTTCCCCTCGAACAGGTTCGGGGCTACGAGCGTGCTGTTCTCTTTTCCCGAGGGCGTTCGAAAGTACACCGTGAAAAAAGAGCTTTCTGCGGATTTGACCTGCGGCTGCCCGTACATTGTCGGATACTGGATGGGATCACAAAGGGGGCAAAAACCGAAGGATAACAGAGAGCTGCAAGTCAGGAAACAGCGAATGGTGACAAACCGCGGTGAATATATTATTGCGGAAACAGGCCTTTGCCACGGTTTCACAAGACTTGATCCTGATACACATGAAGCAGCTGCGCGACACATTACGCGAAAAAGGTTACCGAACCACAACGGTTTTCGCGAACCGTACCTTAGTCCCCGCGGGATCTTCGACGAGGTTGGTGTAGGAGACGAGACGGCCCAATACGAGGCAGTAGCGCAGGAGGCGGCGCATCGCCTTCTTGCTCTTCACCAATGGCGAGCCGTCGGGAAGCTCCGCCTTCGCCGCGTCGGGCGACGGCGCCAGCAGCGTCACCTCGTTCGACCGCCGCAACGCGCGCAGCAGCAAAGCAGCGACGTCTTGAGTTCGAGTAAGACGTATTCGCGAATAGATTGACGGAATGGGGTTACAAGGGAGAGAGGAGAACGGGGGAAAAGGGGGGCGCGGGGGAGGAAGAGGGGTGGAGAGTGGGGGAGGGGAAGGAAAAAAGGCGGAATGGGAGTGAGCAGTGAGAAGGTGAAGGGGTGGCATTTTGTGCTGCTGTTCCTACGGCATCCACTAACCACTTCATATGGCGCCACAGGCGTTAGCGGGAAAATTATTACCCAAGACTTACTAGCGGGCAGGTGCTGAAACAGTGGAGAACACAGCTCGTTCCGATCAGAACGCCTGTCGTGCAAACTCACCTCCTTTCCAGAACAGTCGCACGAACTCCTTATTTTGCGCGAGTAGCTTGACGACTTTCGCGACTTCCTTGACTTTGTCCATCGACACGGGCCCCGATTTGCTCGAGGGCCCGCCGGGAGGGGCGGGAGATCCCCTCCCGATCCACTTGCGGATTCTGTCGCGTAGCTTGGCTGACGCGGGCAGTGGACATGCCGACGCGAACACAAGTAGCAGCAGCAGAGACAACACGAGTCGCTTCGGCGCCGCCATTTCTTAGTGCAGCCTATTCAAAAGAGTATTGGCTGATGACCCCACTTATTTATTGATAGACAATATACTCTACTGGAACGTCATCCAACGCAGCTGTCACCAATAGCTGTCAACCTGTCTGTCAGAGCTTCCTGCTATTACAACGCTAGTCAACTTATATGAGTCGAGAAACGATGAGTCGACTCAAGATGCTAGTGTTGGTCACCGACCGCAGCACTGTCCGCTGCCGACACGACGTGACTGGCGAGACGAAGAAACTAATGTCTCGATTCAACTAAGAGGAAGAGCACGCGATCTAATCACGCCTCCGACCAGCGTTTCCGGAAGCTAAGGAAGACGTTACTTAGGCCTTACTTCTGGTCCGCTATCGAAACGGCTGGGCTGCTTCAACTAACGACCTACGGCCACCCCAGGCGTGACATAAAAGACCAGCGCCCTTGGTTTGCCCCGACTTTCATCCCATGCACATGCCTCTTATTCACCCCCCCCCACTTGTCCAGCACCGCTGTGCCGCAGTGCAGGTGCAGGGTTATCTGTTTTCTCCCTGGCCCTACCCGCAGAGCGGACCATTCCTACCCTGGTTCTCCTAAACGAGTGTTCTCTTACGCCGCGGAGAAGGCGCTCCGTTATTGTAACTAGTCTGAAGAGGAACCGATTGTGCGCTGGTTATTGCCTCCTGAAGAGGGATGTGATGTGATGTGATGTGATGTGACGACCAGCGCTGCTGAAGCGAAGGACGGTAAGCGAACAAGCGGAAGGGAGAGCCGCCAAAGCCGCTTCGTACTGTATGCTCAATGCGACGAGAGCCGTCCCCTGATTCCGGCGGAAGGGTGCTGTGCTGCGCCGTGCAGTGGTTTACGTCTCGTCTTTCACCCCCCAGTTGGTTGGATGTATGTTGACGACGGGAAGTACAAGTGAGCAGGTGGGTTTGGCGACGAGAGATTCGCCGCGAATCAAGGTATTCTGCGTCTCGTGAGGGATCGAACGCAGGGACCAACGAGATGGTGTGAAATGTGCGATTCGTTTTTGTGATTTCGAGTCGCGCATTCCGGATGGAGTCATACGTGCACGCTTCGACACCTAAGCGAGGCCCTTGTCGTAAATGTGGTTAGATGCAGGGGCGCGTGATATAGTCACATAGACACGTGTCGTAACAAAGCCTCTGCGATCGGGGCCTTCCCTATCTGACGGCCACGACAGCTTCAAGGTGTATTCAGCTTCTTTCGGACTTGGGAGAGCACATGCCAGCTCCGGACTAGCACGTGCGATCAACCTGTGATATAAGGGCGTGTCCAGTTCGTTCATTTCGGGTTTTTTGTGCCAACAAACGTTCGAGGCTCAAATATAATCACTGTACCTAAAAACGAATGCATTATGAGTTGAGTCAAACCTTCCTCTAATTTCAGGAGCGCGGGCACGTTCCCCGCGACACGAATCAACAGTGCTCTGATCGCTTTCGAAACGAGGTAACATTTTCCCTCGTCAATCATATCTAACCAATTTTTGGGCAGGCGGGGGGGGGGGTGTTGGCGATTGTAGCGAGCTACTGGCGAAATTGTGCAAGCGATTCAGGGGGGACTACTGTAGTGGCCATGACGCGGTGCTGTACCCTTGTTCGCGTCCCCGCTGATACCAGTAACGTGAGTCAGACGATTCCAGGTACGTGCAGGGGGCGTGCCGTCTTGTGAACGAAAGCTGATTGTGTCCGAAGGACACGTTCAATACAGTGTTACAACAAAAAATGTAGTAACTGAGCGGATTTACGAACAGTAAATGTACGAGCTGGACACCCCCTAATTTCGACCAAACGTTTTCGATATCGGGGAGTGTAGGTGTCATATGATTATATTACTGATGCATATATTTAGGCTGTAGTGGGGTAGCCCATAGGGGGTACAACCCAATTAGGGTTGGTACTTGTACTTGTTTCATTTCATAGTGCACTCATTCTTCGCCTCTATCTCAACATGGTATCGAGCAGGTTCCCTAGTGGGAACTGTTCCTAGGGCCCACCTACTATTCCGTCCTGCCCGGAGCGCGCTCTGCCCTAGCCCGAGTCGCGCTGGGCATTTTTTTTCCTTTGGCGGCCCGATCGCGTCGAGCCGCCCGCGAATTTTTGACGCGCCACCTGCGCGGCCTCGTCGCGCCGCCCCTAGACGGCCGCGCCGCGTCGCGCGTGCCGTCCTCCAGTCGCGCGCCGCCCCCCTCTGACCCTCGCGACGCCGGCGCCGTCTCTGACGGCCCCGCGATCGCCTGCGACGGCCCCGCCGTCCCCTCTACCGGCCCCTCCGCTGCGCTTGACGGCCCCGCCGTCCCCTCTGCCGGCCCCGCCGCTGCGCTTGACGGCCCCGCCGTCCCCTCTGCCGGCCCCGCCGCTGCACCCGACGGCCCCGCTGTCCCCTCTGCCGGCCCCGCCGCTGCTTCAGACGGCCCCGCCGCTGCACCTGACGGCCCCGCCGTCCCCTCTGACGGCCCCGCCGCTGCACCTAACGGCCCCGCCGTCCCCTCTGACGGCCCCGCCACTGCACCTACCGGCCCCGCCGCTACCCCTGACGGCCCCGCTGCTGCATCTGCAGGCCCCGTCGTCTCACCTGCCGGCCCCGCTGCTGTACCTGACGGCCCCGCCGCTTCACCTACCGGCCCCGCCACTACCCCTAACGGCCCCGCAGCTGCATCTCCCGGCCCCGCCGCCCCAGCAACTGCGCCGCCCCAGCAGCCAAGCCGCCCCAGCAGCCGAGCCGCCCCAGCAACCGAGCCGCCCCAGCAGCCGAGCCGCCCCAGCAGCCGAGCCGCCCCAGCAGCTGAGCCGCCCGAGCCGCCCGAGCCGCCGAGCCGCCCGAGCCGCCCAGCAGCCGACCCGCCGAGCCGCCCGAGCCGCCCGAGCCGCCCGAGCCGCCTGCACTGTCCTGTCTGGTGAGCACTGAGCTTTACTCTGCGCACTGCCCTTACCCCACTGCTGTCATGGCTACCCCCAGTGTCCTCACCTTCGACGCTGAGGGCAGAGCCATCGACTTTGACGTGTGGGTAGACGACCTGCTGCTTTTCTTACAGTGCGACAGAGCTGACGGCCTCTCTCTCTTTGATCTCACTTCTGGTGCCTCTCCCGCCCCTGCTGCTACTGAGGATGCCACTGTTCGCTCACAGTGGGCAACACGCGATGCTGCTGCACGTCTTGCTGTGCGTCGCCACCTCCCTCCCTCTGAGCGTGCACACTTTGGGTCGTACAAGAGTGCTCAGACCTTGTACGACGCCGTTATTGCACGCTACTCCACCCCTGCCACTGCTGCACTGAGCCGCCTCATGCTACCGTACCTCCTTCCCGACCTTGCTTCTTTTGCCACAGTCGCCGACCTCATTACCCACCTGCGCACTAGTGACGCTCGCTTCCGCGCTGCGCTTCCTGCTGAGTTCTGCGCCAAGAACCCCCCCCCCCAGTACTTCACTCCCTACTACATTGTCACCCGCCTCCCTGACTCCCTCCGCGGAGTCAGGGACGACTTACTCTCAGTCTGCCCCACCACTCTCACTGTTAACCTCCTCGAGAAGTCCCTCCTAGCAGCCGAGAAGAGCATTCTCGCTGTAGGGGCCTCTCGTGGTGACCCGCGCACCCCCATCTTTGAGGGGTGTTCCCCCTCCCCCCTCCTGCCCTCTGTCGCCTCTGCTGCTACGGCCGACCTAGTTGGTTTTGAGTCGGTCGGTGCGGCGTCTGCCCCCAGTGGGAGACGTCGCTCTTGCAAGGGCAAAGGGGGCAGGAGCGGTGGTGGAGGCGGCGGGGGCGGTGGGAGCGGCGGTGGAGGCAGCGCAAGAGGTGGGGGTGGTAGCGGGAGTGGTGTCGGGAGTGGAGGTGTCAGCGGCGGCGGTGGAGGCGGGGGTGGCAGCGACGGTGGTGGTGGGAGTGGAGGCGGAGGCGGCGGTGGCGGCAGCGACGGTGGGAGTGGCGGTGGTAGCGGAGGTGGTGGCAGCGGCGGCGGAGGAGGCGGCGGAGGAGGTCGTGGCTCGTCGCAGAGGAGTGGCTCCGGTGGCGGTCAGCGCCAACAGCAGCGGCAGCAGCGTGGTCAGGAGACCCTCTCCCCGCAGCAGCTCCGTGAGTGGTACGCTGCACGTCAGAGGGGTGGGGGTACTGGTCCGTGCACCTACGTCTTGCGCACTGGCGACCGTGCGGGTGAGCCGTGTGGTGGTCCACACTCCGCCCAGCGCTGCTTCGGCCGCCTGACTGACGCTTGGCGCCGCCAGTTTCCTGACGCCTCTGAGATCCCTCGCTGGGACCAGCTGTCTAGGGCAGGAGTAGCTATCTTTGATCTTGACTTTGATGCTATTCTTGCTGCCATGTATGCTGTGACTATTAGTGAGGAGGGTGACTGTTACCAGTGTTTCCTGCCCGACCCGGGCATTGGTACTGCGGCTCTAGGTGCTGTTGAGGCTGCTGCTCCAGGTGCTGGTGAGGCTGTCGCTCTAGGTGCCAGTGAGTCTGTGTCCTCAGGTGCTGGTGAGTCTGCTCTCTCAGGTACTGCGTCGGCTCCGCCCTCTCTCACCTTCACTCTTGACTCAGGGGCGTCTCGCTCCTTCTTTCGAGACCGCACCACACTCACGCCGCT